GGGTAGATATACATGTGACAAGCCTGTTCCTACCATATCTTTGCATGAGGTTCCTCTGTAAGAGGACCTCATCATGGCATTTCTCCCAATGAAGCACTGCACCATCGCACGACTACATTTAAGTGCACCACACAACTCATGAATGCCCTCAGAGCACCATAACACTGCAGTTGCACAAACACATCCCAGAGTGCACGTATGCATGACGTGAGTGAAGCATATTGTCACAAACAAGTGCTGGGGTCTTACCAGAGTAATGCACTGACTGAGAGTGCATCACCGGTCAGACTGCACAATTTAAGTATCGTGTTTCACAGCAGCATCAATGTATGATGTTTGAGACACAGTTTCATTTAATCTCATGACCAGTGTGTAGAATCCTATTTTATGATCTATCATGGTGGTGTAGGATTTACCGAGAGATATACGTTTCATTCATGACATTAACTTTTACATCTTTTCTTCAATGTATTTCATTCATTCCATCTTTCCTTCACTATTTATTTAGCCATTTAAATATAAATCATTTCATTTTACCAATTGGGTCTGTTTGACAATCCTAATATATATTATGTTAAATGTACAATGTCTAGTTAAAGACAAATATGCTGAGTTTAGCTGATACTGTCATATAAATGTTTATATCTCAGTAGGTGGTATCTTTCTTATCTCTGAATCTCGTCTTCTTTGTCACGGGTTTCTTTGTCAGCTGATCATTTCATGTGCATGATTGAATGTTCCTGTCATGTTTTTATTGTTTTGTACCTTTTGTCATATTTTCTTATTTTTAGTGAACCATAGACAAATGTTTGTATATACATAACATATATATATGTATATATATAACTATGCACACTTTTGATATCCCTTAATACTTTACTATGATAATGTAAACTGTAGATAGAGGTGAGATTCTTAGACAATGTGCATATGCATTAGACTCTGTAGATCCCAGGAAGGCTGAGCCAGTATTAGAATAGCTCAAGTACATGTCTTCTTGTGGATTTCTTTTTCTTTCATCAATTGTGCAAATATTTTTGTTTCTTTTCTTTCCTACTTCAATTGCACAAGTATAATTCTGTGTTCTTTCCCTCGGTTGCAGTTACCCTGGAAGATTGGTGCATGGCAGTAACTGTAGCATAAATTTACCTTCCTTTTTTTTTCTCTGTTTTCTTTATTTTTTATTCTGTCTTATTCTTTTTATATGTAATTTTCCATTCTGCAAAACTCAGGTCATGATTTCCTATTAAAAGAAATGTAAGATATCTCGTTTGTGCTTCCGTTTTGTGTTTCCTCCAAAGGAATTAATTTTTAAAGATAGTTCCTTCTAAGTGACTGGATGTGGTGGAAGGTCCAAGTGTCAAAGCAGACAAGTGTACGAATCAAAAAAAAAACAATGCGTTTGTTTTTATTGCTCAAACCTGGAAGGCGAACCAAGATGGCTAATGCTCAAAGTATTCTTATTGGTCGAAAACGGAGGAATATTGATAAAAGAAATTGATGCAGATAGCTTTTATCTTTTCCTTACTCTGCATTTATGATTTAACAGTTGTTTTACAGAAAGAAAACAACCACTATTAAAGGTGCAGCCAGAGTTTATTTTTGCTCTCTTTTCTCATTTGTGAATAAACGGGCATTTTATTTTGAAATAAAACTTGAATTGTTATATTTTGTGAAATATCTCAAAATTATCTCAAGAAATGGAAATTTATTTTATTTGAAATAAACCTGAATTGTTGTTTATTGAGTGTTTCTTTACTCCCAATTATCAACAGGATTTATAAAGAAATTGATAAATATTATCATCTATATATATATGAACAGAATATACAGATTACTGTTGGTCTTCATAAATCACATCAGTTCTTGGATGGCAACACAGACCTATGGAAACAAACTTAAATGTTTTTCCATTAAACAGAATGAACTTGAGAGGTTGGTGATAATTAACAGATTACAAATGACCAAATAAGATGCAATTGATATAATTATTATTGCCAATCTGTCAATCTGGCATCAGTCATGACTACACTGTCAATTGTTTCTTCACTTCCAAAAAAAAAAAAGTTTAATAATTGAATTTTAGGTTTTACATAGTATTTAAAACCAGGATGTTTATTTGTGTATGTGAGAGAGAGAGGGAGAGGGCGAGATAGATAGGTAGATAGATAGATAGATATATACACACATAGATAGACAGATAGACAGACAGACAGACAGACAGATAGATAGGTAGATAGATATATAGATATACACATATACTTACATTGTGTGTGTGTGTGTGTGTGTGTGTGTGTGTGTGTGTGTGTGTGTGTGTGTGTGTGTGTGTGTGTGTGTGTGTGTGTGTGTGTGTGTGTGTGTGTTTGTGTGTGTGTGTGTGTGTGTGTGTGTGATAGAGAGAGAGAGATAGAGAGGAAGTGAGAGGAAGTGAGAGAGAGAGAGCATACATGAGAGATAGAGAGAATCCATGAGAGAGAGAGAGAGAGAAAGAGAGAGAGGGAGAGAGAGAGAGAGAGAGAGAGAGAGAGAGAGAGAGAGAGAGAGAGAGAGAGAGAGAGAGAGAGAGAGAGAGAGAGGGAGGGAGGGAGGGAGGGAGGGGGAGAGAGAGAGAGAGAGAGAGAGAGAGAGAGAGAGAGAGAGAGAGAGAGAGAGAGAGAGAGAGAGAGAGAGAGAGAGAGAGAGAGAGAGAGGGGGGGAGAGAGAGAGAGAGAGAGAGAGAGAGAGAGAGAGAGAGAGAGAGAGAGAGAGAGAGAGAGAGAGAGAGAGAGAGAGAGAGAGAGAGGGGGGGAGAGAGAGAGAGAGAGAGAGAGAGAGAGAGAGAGAGAGAGAGAGAGAGAGAGAGAGAGAGAGAGAGAGAGAGAGAGAGAGAGAGAGAAGGAAAGACAGAGAGAGAGAGAGAGAGAAGGAAAGACAGAGAGAGAGAGAGAGAGAGAGAGAGAGAGAGAGAGAGAGAGAGAGAGAGAGAGAGAGAGAGAGAGAGAGAGAGAGAGAGAGAGAGAGAGAGAGGGGGGATAGAGAGAGCATGTGTGTGTGTGTGTGTGTGTGTGTGTGTGTGTGTGTGTGTGTGTGTGTGTGTGTGTGTGTGTGTGTGTGTGTGTGTGTGTGTGTGTGTGTGTGTGTGTGTGAGAGAGAGAGAGTGAGAATGAGAGGGAACGTACATAAAAGAGAGATGGAGAGAGAAAGAGAGCATACACAATGAAAGAGGAAATGTCTTTGTGTAAAAGAAAATAAATGTAAATGGAAGTGAGAGAAAAAAAAATAGATGAGAAAAACACAGAAAATCAGATCGAGAGAAACAACACTTACTAACGTCACAATACTATTTTTAAAAAAATCATAACACATGTAGCAACACCTTGCCGTTCATCAAGTGCAAAAAATATAATTTAACTCGTATGACAGAAGAGGCAAGAATTACTACCAGCCACCAGGACACTGTCACAGCTGTCATACTTTCTGAAGTGTCTGGGAAAAGGACCTTTTGAAACCGAGATACATGAGGGCGCTTTCATGAGGCGTGAGTGATGTGCTCGTGTGATGTTGAGAAGTTTTGTTGGTGTTTAAAGTGTCTGAAAAAAAAGTTAAATATTTTATTTAATGTTTTTGTTTGTTTGTTTGTTTGGTATTGTTTCCATTGAGCTGTAAAAGAGAGGAAAAAAAAAGTATTTATATCCTCAAATTTTCCCTCACAACTACTTTCTTTGGTTAAACTGACATATATATACATACAAGCATACATAAAGTACATGTATATTACATATATACATATATACACATATGTAATATAATATATATACATATACATACATATTTACATATACTTATATATATATATATATATATATATATATATATATATATATATATATATATATATATATATTTGTCATTACACAATGCTATCAGTGATGCCGATTAGCCACCGGAAGTTCTTTGAATGTTTTGATAGCTATATCTCCAAATTCTACAGTTTTTGATAAGACGAGCACATACATTTTCTACGCTGCCTTAATTAAAATAATCTTAATAATCACATTCAGTCCTCACACATCGTCACATCCTCTCCTTTTCACACACTTCCCAAAACATGAACTCATGTTTATTTTCTGAGAAACTGCTTAATAACGTTCGAAAGTTCAACTCCGTTTACGCACGTCATTTATTTTTTTATTTTTTTTTCAAGGATGATGTCATTGAGGTTTTATTCATTTTATCATTTTTTCTATTTTTTATCTTCAAACTGCGGATTCCTCGTTATCTCGTTCTGTGACAATATCCGGTCGATTCATTTTGTTATTTTTACCTCGCGGGACTAGCACATTCATCACGTGTGTGTGTGTGTGTGTGTGTGTGTGTGTGTGTGTGTGTGTGTGTGTGTGTGTGTGTGTGTGTGTGTGTGTGTGTGTGTGAATGTACGTGTGCTTGTGCGTGTGCGTGTGCTTGTGAGTGCATGTGCGTGTGTGTGCGCGTTAACTGTCTGAACAATATCTCAAAAACAAGTTTCAAGTCTGCTTCTACAACTAAAGCTACAACTCATACAATTACCATTACTTCTACAACTACCAATCCGGTACTGCTACTGCCACAACTACCACCGCTAGTATCACTATTACTGCTATCACTACCGTTACTCCGACAACTACTACCACTACCACAACTAGTTCTAATACTGTAACTATCACTACTCTTAACACGATCAACACCACTACTACAACTATCACTACTATTAATAAACCCACAAAGACTACTATAACAATTACTATTAATACAACCACAATGACTACTACAACTACTACTACATTTAACACAAACGCAAAACCTACTGTAACTACTACCATTAATACGACCACGACCCCTACTACAACCACCACTACTCTTAATACGACCACGACCCCTACTACAACCACTACTACTCTTAATACGACCACGACCCCTACTACAACCACTACTACTCTTAATACGACCACGACCCCTACTACAACCACTACTACTCTTAATAC